ACTCACTGGCTCCAAATATCTGTGTCAAAATGCTCTTCTGGTGGCTGCAGTCGATGTTGTAGGGAGTCTCGCCGGCTTTGTTGGGCCTGTAGAGTAGCCGCCCATCTTTGGGGTTCCTTAGAAGAAGTTCCGCCAGTCTCCGGCTCCTCCCCCGGATGGCAACATGCAGGGGAGTGTCCCCTTTCTGTAGAGAAGCAGCACAGGCTGAACTTGCTCCCCCTCAGGGCCAGCTCTGAACAACACTTTTCAGCCTCTACAAAGCAGACAGCCTGGGGTTTACGTTTTCATAAATGGTGCGAATATAATACGGATTTGGATCTCTGTGTTCTTCGGTTTCTTTCCCTAGCTCTCTCCAAGTGCTTCTCAGAAATATTCCCTTCCGGGCCTCTAGAGCACAGCTTCCTCTGTCTGCAGCTCACTTAGAGAGCACCAAGCCTCACCACGCACGCCTCCCGGGCCAGGACCCACCCACTCCTCCACACCCCTTCCCATCACAACAGTCACTGTCCAAGGACATCAACCGCTTTCCTCAACGGGTTCATGCTCTAGTTCAAGGCTGTCTCCCCCCAGCTTCCACGCCATGTCCCATCCATCGTGACCAATCCCATCAGTCCCTGCCACCTCTGCCAAGCATCTGCCGTCATGGAGTCCTTAAATCCATGACCACACTCTTCATCATGTCACGTCTGTCCTTGTCCATCCGGTATCTCCAAGTCTCTTCACCCCTCCTCCCTGCTGTCAGCTGTCTCTCCTATGAGACCCCACAATCGCGGGGGCCTTCACATCCCACACTAACAGAAACTCCTTCCTGTGAAGGAGCTCTCCAGTCTGCCGAAGACAGCCAATGAGGTCAAACTTAGAGATTATCCCAGCTCTCATCTCCCTGCCCGCTGAGACCATCCATGAAGGAGGCCTGTGCGTCTTCCCCACGGCTGGAGGGAAGGCCCCCCAGCTGTTCCTCTGTCCCGCGCCCTCTCTAGGGTGCACCTGTGGTGAATAACCACTGCACTGAGCAGACAGAGGACAGCATGGTCCTGAGAAATGGCTCTACATGAAACGGTTTATACAGCTGATGACATAAAAGGAAGAAACTCGGGGATCTTGTCAGCTCTTCACCCCATGCTTCCCAATGGCTGCTGGTCTGTCTGTCTGTCTATCAGCCCTCAAACTCAACACATCCGAACAACACAACTCCATTCCGCATTCTCAAACCTGTAAGAGGGCAAAATCTCCTCAGCACACGAAACCTCGGGAAAACATAATCAAACCCACAAATATGCTAAAACTAAACAGAGAACAATAGCTAGGTGAACCATCTTTATTTCAGTGTATTTTTGTGAAATAGTATATCAAAACTCACATACGCGTCACTTCAAATACCAAAGAGACAGCGCCCCAGATCAGTGGGCTAGTACTTAACTTGGCATGTGCAAAGGCCCTGGACTCTGCCTCCAGCGTCACCCAGAAGAACTCCGACAGCACAGGAGGAAGAGAACATTAACTCCCAGGGCAGTGTGTTCAGTGAGCAACCGACCCCTTACCGTGCACATCTGTCAGCAGGTATGTGCTGACTGTCTCCCAGTGACACACAAACAGGTATGTGCTGACTGTCTCCCAGTGACACACAAACAGGTATGTGCTGCCTGTCTCCCACAGTGACACACAAACGGATTCTACACAGAATCCTCGGGAAACTCACTGACACACAAAACAGCCACTGTGAACAACGGATCCCATGATGCTTCTATATGGGAATGTCACTGTGTTTCTCACCCTAGAGTGGAGACACAGAGTCGGCTGGGTCGTGGCACAAGAGGGCAGAAGGGAATTAGAGCAAGCTGTCCACAAAAGGTAATAATACAAGAGGTCTGCTTGCTCTGTTCAGCCCTGGCTGGCCTAGAAATTCTCTGTGTGGGTCAGACTGGCCTCACACTCACAGAGATCGCCCTGCCTCTCCCCCCACCTCCCCGCCCCAGTGCTGGGATTAAAGGCGTGCGCCACTGCATCCAGCAGAAGTTTCCATTTCAAAAATCTTTTTTAACCTTATGTCCTTCCTAATTGAATTTTTTTTCACTTTATTTATGTGTCTGTGTGTGGAAATGTGCATGTGAATCTGTGTCCTCAGGGAAACAGGAAGAAGGCATCAGATCTGGAGCTGGACACACAGGCAGCCGTGAGCTGCCCTCTGTGGTGCTGGGAACTGGACCATCCACGCTAGCCTAGTCTACTTGGAGAACGCACCCTCCCCAGCCCCTCTGTATTCTCTGTGGACTTGGGGTAAGCTACCCCTGAATGTCCTCCTCATGTGGTGGTCCAGGACAGCAGGAGAACAGTAACACACTAAGCCTGCTCCCTGCACATGATGTTGGGACAGACTCAAAACGCCCTGTGTGCAGCCCCAGCTGGTCATCTCATCACGCACGATGAAAGTCCATCTCCAGCACTCCAGCCGATGCGCAGGCCAGCACACCACCATCTCTGCACAGGCACCCTGCACAGATGTCCTACCTTGTCTGCGGCAGACACCTTAGCTCCCTTATCCAGCAGCAGCTCCACCACCTCGATATTCCTCATCTTGGTGGCCTTTATCAGTGGTGTCTCGCCATCCTGTGGGCACAGACAAGGTTCAAAGAATAGGGTTTTCCTCTGCTTTGGTCATTCTGCACTCTCATATTCTGAAGAAAACATAGTTTACAAACTGACAAGGAGGTGCTTTTCCCTTCCCAGCCAGTGATCTGTATGGCAACAGCTCTATTACTAAGGCATCTTCACCTTTCTATCAGAATTACAAATATATTTCTGCCATGGAACACTCACTCACACACACACACACACACACACACACACACACACACACACACACACACACAGCTAATCACAACCACCAGTCTCGTACAGTCTCACAAGGTGTGAGTGAAGTTAAAGTGGCTGGTGTGGGAGCCAAGCACAGCCCACAAAGGTTGTTTAAAGCCAGTGTGCTCCGGTTTCCAGACAGTGTCAAGAGCCCGGGGCAGCCGCCTCTTCGCGGCTCATGACGAGCTGGCCGTGTACCGTGACAGGGCATCATCACGGCAGCCCTACCGTCACTCAGCTCACAGGACACAATGCTGTCTGTACCTTCGTGCATATTTCCGTGTCAGGATTGCACTGCAGAATGTCCCTCACCATTGTTGCGTTTCCCTTTTCCACAGCCCAATACAAGGCAGTCTTATTGTCCTGTATAATGAAAGAAAGTCACGTAAGAAGCAGTATTAAAAACTGTCCTTTATGAATGTAAAGAGGTGGGAAGTATTATCAACCTACATGATTTCTAGGATTTACTTTTGAGACATTCCTTATGAAAGGATCCTGGAGAGACTTAGCATTACGTAAGTAAGAAGTAGCAAGCCACAGGGCTGATAAGTTGTGCTCATTTTGTCTTTGTGCTGTGGGGATGGCGCCCAGGGCCACACATTCTAAGCAGGCACCAGATCACCGTGCCACATTCACAGCCCTAAGACACACTGGTGTAATGCAATCAGACTTGAGGAATATAAAACAGGTTAGAAGTCACCGATACCTGAACTCTGCTATTTTGGATAAGCCATTATTGAACATGCTGACCCAGGTAATTCCATCTACAATGCCAGACAATATATCTGTCCAACTCTTCTGAAGACAGTGAGTAGGAATGGATTCCTTACAAACACAGGTGTTATTATTTGTAGCTCTCTTAACCTAGACCACTGGTACCCTATACTGTCTCGAGCAGATCCTTCAGTAACCTATCTGGCTCCTTTGATTCACACAGATGTGGACAGCAGAGCTCGAGAACGTCAATTAACACTGATTAAAAGTAGGTGCCCAAGGCTGACAGAGTAACCAGTGGCCTGAAACAGGTGACCCAGGACCATCTGTTAGTGAAAATCTGCCTGTAGCTGAGAAGACAGCTCCTGTAGCTGCCACATTAGGTTTCCCATGTCGATATGTCCCTAGACAGTTCCCAGCCTAACCAATGTGCATGAGCTGCCCAGCTCTTAGGGTGCCACCCAGCCATCTCAGCACACACTCTCTTATCCCATCTCTCTTTCATCCCACCGTCAGTGACAGGAAAGCTCAGAGACCAGGAGAGGGTGTCATATCCCTTGGAGCCGGAGCTAAAGCAAGCTGTGAGCCACGCGGCATGGATGCGGGATCTGAGCCCCAGTCCCCTCTGAGAGCTGCACGCACCCTAACCAGTAAACTGCCCCAGCCTCTTGTTTTATTTTCTGAGGCAGGTTTTCACGACACAGCCTAGACTGGTGTGGAACTTTTTTTACTTGTACCTGAATTTAAGTGCACATTAATTCTGGAACTTTAGTGTCAACAGACATAAAAACAACCGTAACACACAGCCAATGCCTTAGGACATACATTATCTCCACAGAAAGTAGGAGAGGCATCCTGACACTTGACACATGCGTTCACGGTCCCCGCAGTCTGAGCGCACATACCTGCCCTCTGATGTCTATATCGGCGTATTTTTGGAGAAGTGCTCGAACAATCTCAATGTGACCACCTCTAACGGCGCCAATCAGTACAGTGTCCCCACTCTACAAGGACAAACACAAGGTCCATCAGTAAACAAGTAAACACAGTTCTGAAATTGACGTCACTCATTTATCATCAGTATAATAGATTGGTTCTACAAACCTCTTTGAAAAAGAGTATCACTGTCTGATATTAGCAACCCTCTGAGTAAGAGAGAGAGGACATTAGTCCTTAGAAAAAGGACTCGTGAAACCCCATGATGGAAACTTAAAAGACAGTTGTCAGATGGAATCTAGTTTCTTAAGACAACTTCCCATCACACATACAATTGAAATCACAGGACACTGGCTGGCAGTTTGGATGTTACATAATAAATCCCCTTCAAGTACTCTCACGTCATAAAAGCAACAGGTTCTAAATTGGGAGTGCAGAGCTAGCATGCTGCTGTGGCTCCAGGCCAGTGTCTGTGGATGCAGCCAGTGGGCAGTCACAGGAAGAGCACACAAACTACGTCATCCTCTTGTACAAGAACGGAACCAAGTTAAATACTTCACAGCACACTTCCTCAGAGGACATTCAACCAGCAACAGCCATTTTGAATCAAGGCTTCCCACTACTTCAAATGCTCATTTTTGTCATGGGCTCAAGTACCTTATTATTTCATTGCTAAATGGTAGATCAGTTGTAGACTTTTGTGTTAAGTAAGCCCGTGAGCTGTTGCCTGCTTTGGTTCTGAGGGCCCCAGTGTGCTGCGAGTCAACTATCCCTTGAGGGTTCTATGTTTAGCACTGTGGTGTAGGATATTTGCTGCCCCGCTAACAACTTAAACAAGCCCAAGGCAGACCAATTCTAGTTAAGGACATAAGCAGCGGTGTGGGTGAGAACCAGTGAATCCCTGTTCCAGTGTGCCAGGCACTGGAACCAAGACAGACAAAGTCCCCAACTCTCAGAAAATTTCCAGTCTAACAAAGAAAGACAGCATACAATAAAATACATACACCAAGACAAACACTATACAAACAGAATAGCATATCTGATCAAAAATAACTGGGTAGCCCCTCTGGACAGGATAGCTAAAGATGACCTTTGGGACTAGGCAGATGTGAGCAGAGGTGTAATGACAGACAGGAGCATTCTCGAGCGAGAACACAGCAGGTGCACATGGTCCTTCCCCACAGCAGGGCAAGAGCAGCATGACCAACAAAGAGAAGGCACTGAGCAGGGCTGCACCCTCCTAAATGGGGGAGTGTGACACAAAATAAGGACAAGGACTCAAGTAAGGACCGTGACATGCAGGGTCTGTAAACTAAAAATGTAGTATGTATCCAAAGTGCAAGAGAAAGCCTTGGATGGCTTCAACACAGGAGCGCATGCATTCAACAGCATGCAGACATAGAGCAGAGGCAGCAGAGGAGTCTGTTATGATGTGTTTTAATAACAGGGAGGGTAAGTTTTACGTGAGTCAACAGAACTGAGTGGGCAGGTAAAGGAAAGGTAAAGCAGGAATGGGTAGTAACACCATTCACTGAGATGCAGAAAACGGAGGGAAAAATGGCTTGAGGTATTTAAAAAACAAAAACAACCCCACTTCCATTAATTTAGCCACAAGTTTTAAAAGCTTACTAACTATACATTCAAGTGGAGCGTTCTTCAGGAAAGAAGTCAGGCAAGAGAAAAAAACCTTAGTATAAGGTAGTATTTAAGTCCTGGGACAATGAATAACACCGGCTGTGAAAAACACCTACAAGGTTATTCATCTAAGAGTTACAAATTAACCGTATGTGTGACATTTACAGTAACAAAATTATTTGACAAAAATAAATAAGAACATTCTTTGGCAAGACTGGAAATTTTAATTTGTTAGTTTCAAAGGCAGAAATGAAAGTTCTCTTAAAACAAGTTCATGTCATATGTGCAGACTCTTGATGACGGTCCTTACCCTGTCAGGTATGTTCACGTACGTCCCAGCGTCCAGCAGGTCCTGTACGATCTCTATGTGTCCCTCCTTTGATGCAATCATCAACGCTGTATTTCCGTCCTTATCGGTCAGGTTTACATTCGGATTCCTCTTCAGAATCTCTTTCACTGACTCTGTGTAGCCGCCTTTCACTGCCACGATAAGCGCAGTCATCGAATTCTTAAAAGAAAAACAAAGAAGTCAGGATGTTCTAGAACACATTTTATATATACCATAATCAGAAAACTGTTTTCAATTATTAACAGTGGGGGGGGGGGCGGTGAGGTGCTCTTCCAGAGGACCGGAGTTTGATTCCCAGCACCCACACTGGGTGACTCACAACCACCTGTCACTCCAGCTCCAGGGAATCTGATGCCCTCTTCTGGCCTCTGCAGGCACTAACTCACATGTGTATATCCACAGGCAAACACAGGCTCATACACAGAGTTGTAAAAATATAAATCAAATTTTAACAGTTGGTGGTGCTGGCCTATAATCCAGGGCCTTGCGCATGCTAGGTAAGGGCTCTACCACTATTATGATCTTTCAGCCATTGAAAGTTACTTCCGATAGGGTCAACAAGAAGGCCTAGCTTATAAAGACACTTGCTGCCAAGCCTGAGGACCTCAATCTGATCCTTAGGCCCCATGTGGTAGAAGGAGAGAACCAATTCTCATAAGATGTCCTCCAAACACCCTTCCAATATATAAATACACAAATGAAATCGTTCTTTATGTTGTTTTTGGTGTGCATGTGCGTAGGTGTATGTATACATGGACACATGGAGGTCAAGTCGGGGGAGTTCGTTTTCTCTTTGCACCACGTGCGTCCCCAGGACAGAACTCAGGTCACCAGGCTCAGCAGCAAGCACTGAGCCGCTGAGCCATCCACGGTTCCGGTTTTCAAAGACATATGGTTTCTGTTGAGTCGTCGGACTAGCCGAGGTTCGGTGCTTTCAGTGATAATGCCTGACTCCCAGGAAACAAACCCTTTCACAGATGCTACCAAGTTGAAAGAAGGACTCAAAATCCAACACTTTCCAATGTAAATATTCCAAAGAAAAACTGGATCAGACTTGAAACTAAGAGGATTTTATAATAAAATGTGTAGGAAAAACTGCAAATGATGAATTAAGAGCTAGAGCATATCTCAATAAAAGATTAATAAGCAATCTTCAACAGTACTTAAAAGCCTGTTAACATATTCTAAGTAGTCCTTTAAAATACTAGACACCTTCCTCACATATTAAAACAAAATTTTGGCCCAGCGGTGGTGGCACACGCCTTTAATCCCAGCACTCGGGAGGCAGAAGCAGGTGGATCTCTGTGAGTTCGAGGTCAGCCTGGACTACAGAGTGAGTTCCAGGAAAGGCGCAAAGCTACACAGAGAAACCTTGTCTCAAAAAACAAAAAAAAAACAAAAAAAAAAAAACCAGAATTGGTCATCATCAAATTATTACAATAGCAAGCCACTCATCTATTTGATAACTCGGGAGAGAGGCCAGTGGACCTGGGACCCACTGTGGCTCCAGCCCAATGAACAGTGCCTTGAAGGCCATCATGGAAGAGAGGACACGCTGGACTCGATTGCTCTAGAAATGCAGCATGAGCTCCACAGTTTAACTTGGCTGCAGGTGTCCCGAGACTTGGCATTACCTCCTCTCAACTCCATCATGAGCTGTCTCACATAACAGACTAATCCCACAAGTAGCAGTCCTCGGCACTTTAAAGTGCTTGTGGCTCACAACATCAGTTCCTGAAACATTCTTAGAACCACTAAGAAAAGCTGTTTGTCAGGCTCCTCATGGCTCTCTGACACTCTTGGCACAGATGAGGTACACAGCTGGTGCTCAATAATGAATTAATAGCCAGGCAGTGATGACATACACCTTTAATCCCAGCACTCGGGAGGCAGAGCCAGGCGGATCTCTGTGAGTTCAAGGCCAGCCTGGGCTACAGAGCGAGATCCAAGACAGGCTCCAAAAATACACAGAGAAACTCTGTCTTGAAAAAGCAAAAAATAAAAAACAAAGAATTAATAACTGACTGACTCAACCAATTTTTAACCTTAACAGTTCACATGTCTGTCATCCTTACCCTGTTTATGAGACAGGAAAAATACCTTATAGTACAGATCCCACAGAGTCTAATGTCATTTTAAGAAAAATCATTTTAATAGAGCATGATGTTTCCCTGCAATTATGATTAAGCTTGGCACAGAGGCACATGCCTTTTGTACTAGCTTGGGAGGCAGAGGCAGGAAGGTCTCTCTGAGTTCCAGCCAGTCAGAGTACATAATGAGACTATCTCAAAAAAAATTTTTAATATTAAAAAAGGAAAAAAAAAAGGAGGGGGTAAGAAAAGCTACTTGACCTGAAGAATTTTTCAGTTTATAAGATTACTGAAAATTATTCTTCATGGTTTTAGTTTCCCAAAATTCATGTACCTTAGCAACAGACTCTCAAAAGCAAATATGTATTATGTTTTTCTTATCATAACATGCTTCTTTCCAAAGTTCATATCACTTAAGAAATCCCAGCACTCGGCAACCAAGGCAGGAAAGCCTGGACTACATGGTGAAGTCCCTATCTCAACACTAAAAAAACGAAAGCATCATTTAAGAACTCCAGGGAACTTTTCCTAGGCTTGTACTAGCTTAAATTATTCCCTTAAAGCAAACACTTCCCTCTACTAGAAGGGTTAGGAGAGGAGAGGTACTTACAGCTCCTTCTTGATCGACATCAGCTCCCATGGCCAGCAAATGCTTCACACATTCCAAATGACCCTTCCGGGCAGCCCACACCAAAGGGGTTGTTCCATACTGTTAAAACAGGCAAGGAATGCAAAATGACTTTCAGACACACACTAAAAGAAAGCAGCCAGTAATGAAGTTATATTTTCAGTATTCTTAATCAAGTGTTTATATCAGTCATAATTTCAGTCCTAGACAAGAATCTATGTCCCTCATCCTATTGTCCTGAGTAGTCATTTTTGTATGAAATGTCTTCTAATCAACTTTATTTAACTTTTCTAATCAAGATAATCTTTCCACCATAGTCATACAGTCCCTAATTTTTATCAGGCATTCACTGCTTCCTATATTTTATGATAAAATGTGAAGTCTACTAGTCTAAAGTTAGCATCAAGTGTCAAGCACAGCTCGGACAACCTCACACAGTCAATGCACTTCAGTCTTTATCACAGAGTAAGCCCTGTTCATAGCATCACATTTTCACACATGAAAGTGGGGCCCGAACGGGGTCAAACAACCAAGTTATCATGAGGTAGGAAAAGCTGGGAGGTGGTGACGCACATCTTTAATCCCAGGACTTGGGCGGCAGAGGCAGGTGGATTTCTGAGTTCAAAGCCAGCCCGGTCTACAGAGGAGTTCCTGGACAGCCAGGGTTAAACTGAGAAACCCTGTCTCAACAAACAAACAAACAAAGAGGTAGAAAAATACCCATGGAACCACCAAGCTTTCATATCTGCACTCTTAACCATAACCCCACATCAATTTGTCTCCTTGACAACTGCAGCCCAGAACTGTTCAGAAGCACCTTTTATGGAACATGACCAGAAAGCACCACAAACTAACAATCAGACATGAAAGCATTGCTATCCAATCAAGAGATGTGAATACCTCAAGTGCCTTTTATGTTCATGAAAACCTGAACGTGGTTGTAAACATTCAATAAACCCCGACAGCCTGTCCAACAGTGCTTAAAAAACTGTTATTCCACACTGCCAATACAGTAAGAAGCCACTAGTCTGTATGACTGTAAGTGTGTAAAATGTGGCTAGTGCGACTTAATTTTAAATTAAATCTAAACAGCTCTATGTGGCTATTCTCTATGAACGACATCAGACACCCTCGCAACCACACTCTTGGTAACTGAGCCCCTGAGAGCTGTTGATAGATGGGTCTTCGTGGCAGACAAACAAGGATGTGAGTACAGCAGGTGGGAACAGAAGCCTACCAAGAGGAGAAGGGGTGTGGGGAGAACAGGTTAGGAGAGATGGGTAAGGGATGCAGGATAAACACTCCAATTTCATTCCCGCATCTAGTGTTCCCAGCCTCCTGCCTTGTAGGTAACATGTTGTCTGAAGCACCTTCTCTAACCCCACAACACAATGTCCTAGCCATCCTTAGGGATGAGAGACTCATCAAGACGTCCTTAATTTTAGGAATCAGACGTCAGTTCTCATCCTTGACACCCAGTGCATTTGTTACCTTCTGAGAGAAGGCTATGTGAGAGGATGTGCTCTGAAGTCTGTTCTTTCTCTTCGCCATCACACCGGCCAGCTCACGCTGACCCTAAGGAGCAGGCACTCTCAATGATGTCTTTACAAAGGACTCTTGCTATCTGGTAGGAACTTCCTCACCTCACTTCCTGTCTACTCCACAATGGCTCTTCAGTTAGTGCTCAGCCACCTCAATAAATCTCTTATCCTTTTCAAGTTCAAATCCTGATCTTTCCCCTTAACTAGATTTCTTTCATGTACATGTTTCCCACAGTCTCAGCACATAAGCTCTATCTCTCTCTTTTTCATCAAGACATTACTCAACTGTTTCCTCTCCTATCACATCCTCTCCTCCTGCTCCTCCCTTCCTCTTAGGTCTCTGGTTCAAGTCCTGACCGTTTAGGCTTTCCATGCCTAACCAACTGTCCTGGGTGGTTTGTGTGTCACCTCTACACAAGCTATAGAGTCATCAGAGGAGGGAGTCTCTGCTGAGGAAGGGCCTCCACAAGTCCAGCTGTAGGGCATCTTCTCATTCAGTGATTGATGGGGAGGGCCCAGTCCATTGTAGGTGGTGCCGCCCCCCCCCACACACAGGCTGCTGGTCCTGGGTTCTGTAAGAAAGCACACTGAACAAGCCATGGGGAGCAAGCCAGTAAACAGCACCCCTTCGTGGCCTCTACATCAGCTCCTGCCTCCAGGTTCCTGTCCTGTGAGAGATCATGTCCTGACTTCCCTCAATGATGGACTACAATATGGAAGTGTAAGCCCAATAAACCCTTTCCTCCCCAACTTGCTCTTTGGTCATGATGCTTCATCACAGCACTAGAAACCCTAACTAAGACACCAATTTTCACAGTAGCTTTCCCTCTTAGAGCCCATCATTACCCTTCCTTCAACACTACAAATGTAACTTCAACCATTATTTCCAATCATCACACCACCAGCTTTAGAACTCTAAGTACAAAGAAGAGAACCAAACTTGAATTTTAAGATCATTTTTCACACAAACAAAACAGGCAAGACTAAAAGTAGAAAGAAGAGTTATAATAGAAAACCTCAAACGATGAAGACATGAGTCCATTATCCCTGTCTTTTTAATAATGAATTCAATGTAATACACATCAAGAGAACACTTACTCTATAACACAAATAGAGGACCCACCTACAAGTTGTGCATCTATAAAAATGTTAGATCACAAAAATAAGATACATCAGAGCAGCTTACACCACGGACTGTAACTCACCTTGTCAGAGCAGTTGACCTTTGCCCCATTCTGCAGCAGAAGATGTACTATGTCAGCATGGCCTCTGCCTGCTGCCCAAATGATTGGGTAAACACTGTACTGCTGGGATACACAGGTACACACGAGGAAGAAGGAAGAAGAGAGTCTTTTAGACGGGCATTTGCAACACAAATTTACTAAGTAAATACCAGCAGAATTAACACAAAGTAATGTTTTTTAAATCAAGTTAGAGACCATCCTCCATTTTAAAAACACAAATACTCTAATAGATAATTAAAACTAAGATGTGTTAAGCCTTAAATAAGCACATATTATCAACACATTTATTTTTGCAGTTAACATATTTATTGTGATTAGCCATTCGGCAAGATTAATAAGCAGAATAAGAAGTAAAAAACATGTATTGAAATGAATAAAATGTACAGAAAAGTAGAATGTATAGAAAAATGGTATGGCTTCTTGGTAAATGTTTTCTCAAGAAATTCCAAGAAAGGATGCACTCACAGTAAGACAAAAAGGAATTCACAATTTCCTTTTGAAATGCTACACAATTATGGTTCACATTAGAGGTCAAAGACTTGCTTTTTCACTGGAAAAACTAAGAAAGGACAGTGTATACAACTCTCATTGGGTCTTACAATGGCATTCTATATGATGTCCAGTATGATCTAAAAATTCTCTACCCACTATGCAACATAAAAGCCTGCAGCATTCCGGAAGAAAACTTACCATTTACATTACAAATTTGCTTTTTGTGGATGCTTACCAAACCAGTGACACTTGGGTTGGCACCGTGAGAAAGAAGCAACTGGACAACATCAGTCCTGCCTTTGTAGCACGCCCACATGAGAGCTGTCCATCCCCCCTAAAGGACAAAAAGCGGTGTGTGAAACGGTATCATACACAAGCAAGGAACACCTTTAATCAGGTCCTCTACGCACATCTTTGTAACACCATTGTGTTATGAAGATAATGGTCTTAAATCCTCAAGCTCCTCAGAAATATACGACAGAACATGAACTGAATAAAATCTGCCGAGTCTACAAGTGATCACTGCAAAGTTTG